CCCCAGCTGGCCAGGCTTCCCCAGCCGCCACCAACACCACCACCACCACCACACACCCCAGCCGCCACCACCATTACCACCACACACCAGCCCGCTCACCACACACACACACACGAACACAAACACACACACATACACACCACACACACCACACACCAGCCACACATGCCACCCCCCCGACTCACCGCCGACTCCAGGTACTTGCCCATCAGCACCAGCGTGACCAGCATGGCGGCCGTCTCGAAGAAGTCGGTGGGCTTGTAGGCGCCGCTGGTGTGGTGGGAGGCGATGTGGTGGTGCAGCATGGAGATGAGGGAGTAGAGGAAGGAGGCGTTGGTGCCCATGGACACCAGCACATCCATGTTGGCGCGGCCGCGGCGCAGCGCCGCGTACGCGCCGCGGTGGAAGCGCCAGCCGATCCAGAACTGCACCGGGGCGGTCAGCAGGCACTTGGCCACCTGGTCCAGAGGGAAGCCCAGTACCTGCGAGCGGGCAGCGGGGTGGGGGTGGGGTGGTGGGATGGCGTGGCGGCGCAGGGCCGCAGGTACGTTGCTGAGCGCTGGGAATGTCGGGCCGGCTGCCGGAGGGGCCGTCCTGTCCTGCTCTGCAAGCAGGCGCCAGCCAGCGGCCGCGACGCACCATGGTGCAGTAGAGCCAGCGCATGCTGTGCATGTGGGGGGTGACCATCGCAACTGCAAAGGCAGAGGGGCAACGGCAGCTCGTTAACATGGCGATGCTTCGACCAACGATGGCAGGGGGCGTGCTGATTGCACTCGCAGGTAGTAAGGGAAGCAAGGGAGGTGTGCAGCATGCTGCCACCCCGGCCAGCCGCTCACTGATGAACACAGGCAGGGTGAGCAGCCCGGCGGTGCGGAACTGGCGCCACCACTGCGCCGTCTCTCGCCGGTTGTTGTCGACAAAGGCTGCGGCAAGGTGAGGCAAGGCAAGGCGGGCGAGCGGCAAGGTGAGCGGCAAGGCGGCGGCAGCCCATCAGCATGGACCAGAGCACACAGCGGCCTTCGCAGCACAGTAGTAGAATATGAGTCCCAGCAACAGTTGCAATCATGCAATCAGCGCAACCGGCAGGCAGCTGGGCAGGCAAGCACCTAGCCGCTGGCCGGACAGAGGAGTGGCCACAAAGCCGGCGCCCTCCACCGCCTCCACCAGGTGGCGTGGCCCCGCCACCTCGGGATCGTATTGCACCTGCAAGACAGGAATTGCACAGGTCATTATGCAGGACCCAGCCAGCAGGCGGATGCACCCCACAGCACTCCACAAAGCCGCGCTCCGCGGCAACGGGCAAGGCCACGGCTGGCGGCACAGCAGGCTAGGCAGGGCAGGCCCCACCTCTGCCACCCCCGAAATCAGGTTGACCGCGGCAGACTGCACGCCCGGCACCGCCTGCAGTGCCGCCTCCACGCTGCCGCTGCAGCTGCTGCACGTCATCCCCTCCACTTGCAGCAGCTGCTGGCGGCACTCCACGGGGCCGATGACTGCGCCAGGCATGGGGGGGGAGGAGCAGCTAGCAGCAGCATGAGGCCAACCCTGCTGAAGAAATGCGCTGCTGTGGTGGCGGGGAGGCAGCGCTGCATGCGGCAGCGCTAGCGACCGCCCACCCACCTGATGCCTCAAAGCCACAGGCCTCCACCGCCGCCACCAGCCGCTCCTCCATGTCTGCCGCGCCGCCACTGCTGCGGTACCTCACTTCCGCCTGGTGAATGGTCAAGCTCACCGCTGCCGCCTCCACGCCCGGGACGCCCTTCAGCGCCGTCTCCACAGCTGCACGACCCAGCACGATCAGCGTTGGCAGCAGCGATGGTACGTGCGCGTGACACCCAGCTGTTTGCTCCCGAACACAGAGGACAGAGCCCCAGCGACCACCAGCGTATGCACACCCGTGAAGGAGCAAACGGCCGACCGGGCGCCCACCTGAGGAGCAGGCGCCGCAATGCATGCCCTCCACTCTGAGCTTCACGGCCGCCGCGCCGCCGCCTCCGCCGCCACCTGCTGCTGCTGCCCCGGCGCCGCCGTCCTCCGCGCTGCTGCTGACCACGCGGGCGGTGAAGCCGCAGCCCTCGACGGCAGCCAGCACCTCGCCCTCTGATGTGGTGGCTGCGCTGTAGCGCACGGTAGCCGTCTCGCTCAGCAGCGCCACGTCAGCAGCCAGAACTCCCGGCAGCTCCCGCAGCGCCGACTCCACCGCTCCAGAGCACGCGGAGCAGTGCATGCCTTGCACCGACAGCTGCGGCAGGGCACAGCGGCACGGCAGCGGCTGCTGAGTGGGCGAGCCCACTAGCAGGCCACCTGTGGAGGACCCCTTTACGGAAAGATAGGCACAGGCAGCAGGTACCACCACCAGATCCCAGGCAACAGCACCAGTACCAGCATCGCAGCTCACCGTTAGCTGCACGATGCCGCCAGAAGCGGCGTGTTGGCCGGCGGCAGGGACTGCCTCCACCTTGGGCACCAGCTTGGACAGCTCATTTGCAAACTCCTCCGCATCCAGAGTGTGCTTCTTGTACAGGGGCGACTGCGCAGCGCTCCCGCCTGCGCCGCCGCTGGCTCCCAAGAGCCGTCGCAGGCGGTCCATGCTGAGCGGCGTCCCGCCTGGCGGCGATCACCCACCAATGGCGGCGCCCCCTGGTGCCCGGTTGGCTTAAGGGCGCACGGCCCCCTCCAGAGCGCAGCCACCCGTGTGTTCGAGCACCGGTGCTGTGCGGGGTGCAGCTGCCCCGGCGGAGAGCGCCGGGATGTAGTGTGCCGGGCGTGTGTCGGCAGGGCTGGGGCCGTGCCTTGCCACTTTACAGGAAAGCGCACAAGGCAAACTGAACTCGCATCTGGGGCAACAGAGAGCTCCAGGGAGCGGCATCCATTTTCATTTTCTCCCTTTCCTCAGCAAAAAATGCTGGAGTTGCAGCGGTTTGGGTGTGATATCTGGCGTGTTCAGTCCCGACACACACTGATCACGATATAATCTACTTCACACCTCCTTGTGGGCGACATGCCGGGGTGCCAGACTCGCATCCACGTGCGTCCTGCTCTGAACTGGAATTGGGAGCATTACACGGAGCAGAAGAAGAAGTATGAATTGTTAGAATCGAACCATCTACCGGCACTTGAAATCAGAGGGCACCACCAGCGCCGCGTGGCCGCTGCCGCCCTCGATGACACCGGCTCACTGCCACTTTGCCTTCATCGTGCCCTTGCTCTGCAGGAAGCTGAGCACCACGGTGGCGGTGGTGAGGGAGACCACGATGAGCACCAGCAGGGCATAGGGGAAGTCGTCAGGCACCTGCAGGCAGGGGAAGCGGCGAGGGGATGGGGTGGGAATCCACGTGGCCAGGGATCCTAGTCCATCCCTGGCACAATGTTCGTTTGATGCGCAGGCTGGCTCGGGCGGCCCCCCAGTTGCCACCACCCAGCATTCTTTCCTCCCGCGCCCCACCATGTCGAAGCTCTTGGAGGGTGTGAGGCGGGTGTAGAACAGGTCCAGGCCGTGGCCCAGCATCAGCATCGTCGACTCCAGCTCAGCAGCCTCCACCGCCACGCCCCGCAGCCGCTTCACCTCGTGGTTGAGGGTGGCAAACATGGGCCTGGTGGTGGTGGGGGGGGGGGGCAGGCGTGGAGGGCGGTGGCAGGTGAGGCGGTGGAGGGCGTGGATGGCGCCAGCGACCAGGTGTTGAAGCTTATGCCAATGCCTGTCCATAAGGATGGAGGACCGCCAGGGCAGGCAGGGCAGGCAGCAGGGGGCCGACGCTCACCCAGACAAGGGCAGCTCGGCTTGGTAGGCGGGCAGCTGCTCCGCCGCCTGCTCCGGCGTGGGCTTCTGGCCCGGCGGGACGATGGGGCGGCGCGGGTCCAGGAAGCGTCGGTCCAGCAGGTACACCTGTCCCGCCTGTGTCAGCAGCATGACCTGCTTGGCGGTGTTGCCCCGCAGGCTGCGTGTCACAGACAGGCCCACCACCGGCAGGCGGCACAGGAAGGTCTGGCTGCCCGCCTCCAGCGGCGGCACGTCCCAGGAGCTGCTGGTCAGGTTGGTCTCGCCAAAGGCCAGGTCAGACACCCTGCGGCGGCAGCAGGGGGCGGCACACGCACAGCCGTAAAAAACGGCTGCCTGGCCCTGGCAGGTGTTCCCTTGGCTGGCGAGCGCCGCCGCGGGATAACTCGTGAGCAGCGCGCCTGGGCAGGGAGGCCTGGCGGGCGGGAGCGGCGAGCGGCGCGGCAGCCCGGCCAGGCCCCGCAGCCAGCCGGCAGCTCACTTGAGGGTGGGGGGCGAGGCGTCGTACAGCTCCACGGTGGCCATCTGCCAGCGGTGCGCCTCACTGCTCCAAAAGTGATAGGCTGCCATGTTCTCGGTCAGCACCGCATGCACGGGGCCGCTGGCGCCCTGCAGCCCAGGCACGTAGCAAGCAAGCAGAGGACCAAACGTGAGATGGCAGGGCGGGAGGCAGCACCTACCGCTCCTGCCGGGTGCGGGCCTGCCAGGGCAACGCCAAACTGTGCAGCACCCTGGCCACCCTGCACCTCCCTCCACACCCCGTCCCATCGCCCCGCACCTCGTGCGCCTGGCTGAACAGCGTGCGCCCCGTCACCGCATCCAGCAGCGCCACCGTCAGCGTCTGCTCGCCGCGCCCGCCGGCGGGCGGCCCCACAGCCACCAGCAGGGTGTTGGGGTTCAGGTACTTGAACTTGAGCTCCCCGTTGCCCAGCACCCGGGCAGGGCTGTACACGGTTTCGCCGGGGAGGTGCGCGGCCACGGCGAGGATGCGGCGGCCGCTGCCAGCTGGCGCCAGCACCGCGGACCAGCGCTCCTCCACAGCGCCCGACTCTGCGATGGCAGGCAGGCAGGCGGGAGGTGTGCAGCATCGGTCAGTGTCCGTGACCGACCAGTCCAGCAGGTCAGCCTGGCATCGGGGCGCTCCAGACCCAGCATGCTGTCCACCCAGCGTGACGCCCAGCTACGCCCAGCTACGCCCAGCTGCCCAAGGCCAGGCACCCACCCACCCGTGAAGCCCAGCCCGCGGATGGTCCCCGCCTGCTCGTCGGCGCGCCAGAAGCTGAGGGTGGGGCGCGCGGCCGCAAAGGCGGCCCGCCCCAGCGCCGTGTCTGGCAGCAGCTGCGGCTCCCCGCCCTCGCCAGCCGGCACCAGCGCATACACGTGCTGGTCAGCGGTGCCGTCGTGCGCCGCCTGCGGCAGGTGCAGCAGGTCAGCCGCCGCCACGGGGGCCGCCAGGGTGTCCAGAATGGCACCGGTATGGGCGTTGATGATTGCGGCCGTGGCAGCCACGCCCACGTCAAACGCCACCACCTGCACGCGGCGCACGAGGCGGCGGCCCGGTGTCAGTCGGCGACAGGGCCAGCAGCAGGCCACGCACCGCGGCCCCATGTCCCATCCCCTGCGCCAGCCATCCTGCTCTGCGCAGGCTGCTTTACAACTTGCCCAAGCAGGCCGCCTCCCATGCCCCACCCACCTCCACGTCATGCTGCACCTCGTGCGGCACACGCCACAGGCCCAGCTTGCTCATCGCGGCGCCGCGGCCAAAGTCCAGGGACCAGAGCAGGCGGCCGTCGCCGGTGTGCAGAGCCATTACCTTGCCGCTCGCTGTCAGCACCACCAGCTGCTTGCGGAAGCCGTCTGCGGGCGGCAGGCAGGGCGGGCGGACGCGTCGCCGCCGATGAACACACGCACCGTCCCTGCCTTACTGCTGCAAATACACCCTTCCCATAATCTCACCAACTGCACGCTTGTGGCTGGCCCCAGTGTCGGGCCCCTTTGGACACACACGCACCCACCCACACACACACACCCACACAAACGCATACACCCGCGCACCTGGGTCGCGCGTGGGGCGCAGCTTGTCGTTGGTGACCGCCTTGTAGCGCTCCACCTCGCGCCGCTCCTCGGGGCTGGCCAGCGCCAGGTTGGCCAGCTGGCCCGCCTGCACCTTGAGCGTCAGCGCCTGCGCCCGCAGCGTCTCGGCCAGCCCCGGCTGAGAGGCCAGCCACTGGGCCTCGTTTTCAGGGGTGGGGGCGGGCAGGTCGGTGAACAGCACGTCTGCAGGCAGGTGGTGGTGAGCGGCAGCAGATCAGGGACCTGGTGCGCGATAGGGGCGGTGCGAGCGGGACGCCATGCGGCCCCAAACAAGCCAGCCAGGCCCCGCCGCACCCGTGACAGAGGCTAGCTCCTCGTGCCGCAGCCAGGCCAGCGCCCCGCCCTCCACCAGCGCCAGGCTGTCGTCGTCAAACACAACCAGCTGCCTGCAGCACAGGGCAGATGGTAGGTGGCAGTCAGGTGGTGAGGCGTGCCGCAGGCGCATGCCAGCCACAGCATGTGCTTTGCCTGCTGCGTGCCAGGCTGTTCCCGGCGTGCATGTATCCACTCCGCTGTGATGGCTTGCCTGAACGTGCCCGAGGAAGGGGCCGCAAACAGGGCGGCCACGCCCACGGCGTGGCTGGTCACCAGCTGCGGCGCCAGGCTGGGTAGCGCTGCCTCCTGCACGCTGCTGCCGTCTGCTGCCGACACAACCTGCACCCGCAGGCCTGCTGTGCTGGGTGTGGCCAGGGCTACCAGAGGCGTTGCATCAGCGCCCTGGCCCAGGAAGCACCCAGAGGCGGTGGCGTCGGGCACAAACTTGACCATGGAAGCGCCGCTGCTGCCGCCCAGCGCCAGCACTGCCGCCCCGCCCGCCACCTGCAGCACGGCGTGCGCGCTGCAGCTGCCAGGCACCAGCCGAGCGCCCGCCACGCTGACGCCAGCCGGCACCAGCGCGGCCAGGCCCTGGCAGGCAAGAGCAGACTGCGCAGCGGCGCACAGGCTGCTCCCATCTGCCGACAGGGCCGCCACTCCCGCCTCGCCAACCGCCAGCTGAGCGCCGGTCAGCTGGCCGCCATCTGCCGCCAGGCTGGGCTGCTGGGAGACCTGGCCATCGGCGCTGAGGGAGGCCAGGGCCAGCTGGGAGCCCCTGCAGCAGACATGCCACCCAAAGCAGGGGTTGGTGGAGGGGATGCCGTACACTCGCACAAAGCAGCTTCCACGGGCGCACAGCAACAGACGCGCAGGTCGTGGCTGCCAGCAGTGTAGGCAGGCAGCGGGGCACGCACCCCGAGGGCAGCGATGCAGCCCACACCCCGCCGTCGGCTGCCGCAAACAGCTGGGCGCTGCCGCCGTCGAGGCTGGCAGTCCACAGCTCGCGGCCGTCCGTCACGGCAAAGGCCTGCAGGAAGTGCACGATTTCTGGAGTGTTGGCTGCTGATGCGACAAGCATGGCCAGCCCCTGCATGCTCTGTAGCTGCCACCCGGGAGTGATGGCAAGCCAACACACTGCATCCACTTTTGTCAGGCAGGCAGGTTCACAGGCACATGTGCTGCCGACATGCCACCCTCACCTTGACTGTGCCCCCCACCGCCACGGCCACCGCCTTGCTGCCAACAGCAGCCAGGTCCACGCCGCCCGCCAGCTCCGCGCCGGTCGCGACCGTGGCTGCCCACACCGCGCCGCCGGTGGCGGCGTCCCAAGCCAGCAGCTGCCTGCCGCCGTCTGAGAGCGTGACCACGCGGGTGCCCAGCACCAACAGGTGGGTGAACGTGTCGCCCTCAGCCAGCACCTTGCGCCACAGCAGGCTGCCATCGGTCGGCGACAGCGCGGCCAGGGCACCCGCCTCGGACGCCACGTACAGGCGGGGGCGGGGCGTGGTGGCGAGCTGCGCCAGCTTCACCCGCCCAACATACTGCTGCAGCCAGTCATACTGGCCCGCCTGGTCCTCGAGAATGGCCAGCACAGCCCCAGGACAGGCGCAGAGCAGCACAAGGGCGGCCAAAACCACGGTAGCCTTCATGGCCAGGGCAGCTGCAACCCTCAGGAGAATGAAGCTGCTGGTAATTTATTGCGCGTGAGCCAGGAGTAAAGTTCAGGCCTGCATGATGGCGAGGTGATCGCGGCCCAGCACAGCCCTACGGATCCTGAGGCGATGTAAACTTCCAGATCGATTGACAGCGCTACGGCTGGCTGGCCCGCGCGCCCTGCATTGCCGTCGCCAGGAAACCGTACCGCATCTGTACCTGCAGGGGGGGCCTTCTCGTCATATCATCACTCTTGCAACAGTGATTCACTAAAATGCAGCTAGCAAATGGTTCTTGACGTTTGGCAGCGCCAAATCGCTGGTTCCCCTCGGGTCGGCACCCTTGACCACAACTCCAGCCTGGGAACACACACGGCTACAGGTATTTGATCAGGGTGTCGAATGCTTGAAAACCGCCAGCCGCCCTGTGCAAAATCTGCGCTGAGTGTTGGCAGCACTTGGAGCGGGACGTCACCGCCGCCGCTCCTTGCCTGCAGCATTTGATCCTTTTTTTAAACATTCATTCATTTCACGTTGATGCATGCAGACACTGAGAATGCGGAGGGTGCTGGCGACCTTTGGCAACGGGGATTGCGGCCGCCTGGGGCACTCGCTGGAGTATGCGTCAGAGGAGCTGCCGCGGGTGGTGCGAGCGCTTCTGGGAGTGCCGCTCAAGGCGGTGGCATGCGGCGGGGCGCACACCGCAGCGGTGGACGACTCGGGGACGGTCTACACGTGGGGACTGAACGACAAGGGGCAGCTGGGGCACGACAGCGAGGACAGCGAGGTCGGCCTGCCAGGGGAGGTGGCCATGCCGGAGCGGGTGGTGGCGCTGTCGGCGGGCTATTACCACACGCTCTGCGTGGGCGAGAGCGGCAGCGTCTGGAGCTTTGGCTGCAACGGCAAGGGCCAGCTGGGGCTGGGGAAGGACGTTGTGCTGGTGCGGGAGCCGCGCCTGGTCAAGTCGCTGCAGGGTGAGCCTTTGTGGTTGCTTTTCGACGGCACTTGTTGACTGCAGTTCCCAGCGCACGGTTCTGCGCCAGTTACGTAACCTGTTTCATCCTTAGCATGCATTGTTGACCAGCTCTCCCTGCCCTCCTGCCCGCAGACAATAAGGTGGTTGCGGTCGCTGCAGGCATGGAGCACTCGTTAGCGCTGACGGCAGGCGGCGAGGTGTACAGCTGGGGGAATGCGGCCAACGGGCGGCTCGGGCACGGCAGCGCCACCCCGCGCCGCCTGTTTGGAAGCAGCATCGAGTTCTTGCCGCGGCTGGTGCGGGCCTTTGAGGCGCTGCGGGTGGAGCAGGTGTCTGCGGGGCAAATGCACTCGGCAGCCGTCAGCACTGCGGGCGACGCCTTTTTGTGGGGCTACGGCAAGTTCCACCAGCTGGGCTTTGGCAGCGATGAGGACCTGGCCGGCCCCACCGTGCTGCCGCCGCTCAAGGGCAGCACAGCGGCGGTGGCATGCGGCTCGCTGCACTCGCTGGCGCTGCAGTATGGCGGCCACGTGCTGGCATGGGGCACCAACCAGGTGGGTATTGCGGTGGCCTGCTTGACGCCTGCACAGCAGGAGCCTGCTGGCTAATCTGCTGCTCTGTGCTTCTTGGTTGTGCCTGGGCGGGGTGCAGAATGGCGTTCTGGGGCAGGGACATGAGAAGCAGCAGCAGCCGAAACGGCCATCCAAGGTGCCGGGCGTGTCAGCGGAGCAGATAGCGGCGGGCTGGAAGCACTCTGCGGCAGTGACGGGCAGCGGCAAGCTGTACACCTGGGGCTGGGGCGGCAGCCAGGGTGGGTTGGATCCATGCTCTGCTTGACTTAAGTAATTGGACTGGGTGTTCTTCCCTGTTCACACTCCCCATGATGGCGTGTATGCAGGGACAGCCCTATCGTTTGAGGGGCGTACCGGCACCGGCGGGCAACTCGGGCACGGCAACGATTTTGACTACTGGAGCCCGCACCATGTCGATTGGCTGTCGCTCACAGAAACAGACTTGGTCAAGCAGCAGCGTGATGATGGCAGCCTGGCGTGGAAGGTGCAGCAGGTAACGCAGCAGCGCAGCAGACAGTCAGCAGCAGCAATCCACTTCGGAGTGAGTTGAGACTCACCCCTCGTGTTTGGCGATCTGCAGGTGGCGTGCGGCATGAACCATACTGCAGCAATCGTCGAGCTTGATTCTGGGGTATCACTCTGAAGCGGCTCAAGGCATCGCAGTGCTTTGAGCCAACCCTCCATCGCTCCTGTACACAGTCTTGTGCCATGAATTGCTTTACATATGCTTGTATCACTGCAGAACTTTGTTCAATAGCAGCTTGCACACACGTCAGCATACACTCAGTTCAAAAGATGGCCCTCCGGAAACACGGGCCTCAAGAAGAAAGGGCACCTCTGCCGTCACCCCCCCATGCTGAGGAACCGCTGCATCGCGCTCTCCAGCTTTGGCGGCCAGCGGGTGTTCTCCAGGATCCACCCCATGTTGTTCCACCGCTCATCCTGTGCCACTGCCCGGTAAAACTGCTGCTCGGCCCGCTCCGCATCACCCCGCGACCACTCCACTGCGGCCAGAGCAGCGTGCGCTTCTGCATAGTTGGAGTACTTGCGAGTCACGCCCTGCATGGTGCGCCGCGCACCGTCCACATCCCCCTGCTGGAACATGAGCGTTGCCTGCCGCAGCCGGTACCCTGCATGTGTGCAACGGAGAAGGCGAGGGGTTAAATGCTGAAGCTTGTACTTCTTCATCCCACACGACAAGAGTATGGTGCCCACCCACCTCCCAGCCCGGGTGCCAAGTCTGCTGCTGTGCCGAAGTCGGTGAGAGCCGCAGCATAATCCTGGAGGCGCAAATCGATGTTGCCACGGTCAAACCAGGCCGCATACTCCTTGGGGTCCAGCTGGAAAGGCAGAGGGGGGGGGGGGGGGGGGTGCGTCAGCAGCAGGAGGACGTCCATCAGCCAACTGGAAGCTGAGCAAGGCCGTGCAGGCACGTCAGCCAACCGCCTCTGCGACTCCCCACCTCTATCGCCCTGTCACAGTCTGCTGCCGCCGACTGCCACAGATCCAGCGCACGGCTGCTGTCGCCGCTAGCAGCTGCCTGAACGCCCAGAGCCTCCTTGGAGATGGCGCGGTTGAGGTAGGGCACAGGCGCCTGCTGGCTCCAAAAAGAACAAAACATGTTCTTCATTGCTATACTTTCTTCATTTTTTCATTTTTTCTCATGCATTTCCAAAAACTGCATTTCCAATTCCAATTCCAAACATGCAGAATCACAGCAGTTTAAACCTGCCCAATGTTCAGACCCAGCGGTAAGCCACAACAGGGCAAGCACACAGTCGCTCACCTCTGGGGCAAGCGCCACTGCTTTGCTGTAGTCTTCCACCGCCTGCTGCGCCTGCCCCTGCTGCTGGTGCACGTTGCCCAGGTTGCTCCAGCCACTGGCGCTGTCTGGCTCATCCAGCAGGTAGATTTTGAAGAAGCGCTCTGCATCATTCAATCGCCCCTCGGTTGCAGCCCGCAGGCCTGCAGCATGCGCCATGTGCTCAGTTCTATGTTTGGAGTGGAATTTTCAGGCATAGATCGGCATCAGATCCGCTTCCCTGCCTGTGGTCACCGTGTTGCTGCCAGGAAGTGTTCCCACCTGCTTGCAACGTGGGCGACTCGACGTCTTGCAGTCGGACGTTGTAGGCGGCAGCATGGTGAGGTGCCCCCAGCAGCACCGCGGCCGCTGCTGCCAAGCCCAGGGGCACAAGCCGCAGCTGTGCTGGCAGGCATGAGCACTGTCGATGGATTGAGGATGGTTGGTGCATGGCTGCGTTTGCCGGAACCCGAGCCTGTCGATCCGCCGCCGCCACTAACGGGAGCCGGCGGCGCGGCCTCTCAGCCTGCAAGCTGCGATGCCAGCTGGATCGAGGCGTCCTGCTCATGCTGCAATCTGAGTGTTCTGCTCCGCAGGGAGTCTGTGCCTGTTTGACAAAAGCCCTTTGCGACTGCCACATTATGGTGCAACTCAGCTGGGAGCAGGTGTTCAGAGCATTGCTGGGAGGCTTTCCTGTCAAGAATGTGGTGAATGAATCGAAACAGACCAAGTTTTGGAAGCCACTTTGTCCTGCGCTGCCGAGGTACTGTCTGACGAATATCTACCCAGCCCGCTGGACGCTCCTCGCTCTAAAGGTGCAATCCCAGGTGTCGAGTTGGATCGCGGTGCACTGCGGAGGCTTCTACTGCCCACTGATCGCCATCAGCGGACTTCCTGGGCCCTGTTGAGCTTGTTAGGAGCCCAGGACCGACCCCTGCCGATCAAGGTTGATCACAGTGCAAAGCGCCACCCCAGAGCGCGGTGAGCACCGGGCAGCGCCCCCGAGTGTACTTAACCCCTGGCGGCAGTGGGAAGCACACCACATGATGGGGCGCGCGAAGGGCCGCAAGCGCTGTGTCGTGCAGGTGCCGCCGGGAGGCGGGCGGCGCCTCGGCGGTTGCGGGCACCCGACCAAACTCTCGCCTGCCCTTTCAACATCCCTCCAGCCTGCAGCCATGGACGAGAAGGTGGCCCAGTTCATGTCCATCACCGCCGCCAGCGAGAGCACCGCCGCTTTCTACCTGGACAGCTGCGGCGGGTCGGTGGAGCAGGCGGTGCAGGGCTTCTTTGACAGCGGCGGCGCCAAGGCGCCCGCTGCGCCCGCTGCTGCAGCCGCAGCCCCACCCCCGGGTGGCTCCTCGCTGCTGGCCGAGGCTGCTGCGGCGCGCGCAGCCCGCGCGGCCTCTGGTGGCGGCACCGGCGGTGCGGGCCCCAGCAGCAGCAGGCCTGCGCGTGGCGGCGGCGGGGGTGGTCGCGCCGCCGCCGGCAATGTGAGGAGCCTGGGCGACATTGGCGGGGAGGAGGAGGAGGATGACGATGACTTCAACGACTACTATGTGGGGGGAGACAAGAGGTGAGGGGGGGAGGGGACGCGGCGAGGCTGGCGCAGCTCGCAGCACATGGCATTGCCTTTGTTTCGAGCTTTTTGCCCCGCCTGCTCCGCTTCTGGTTCCAGTCCCCGGCCCTTTGCTTTGCCCAAACCCGTTGTATGAACTTATCCCCTTTCATGCCCTGCAGCGGCCAGGTTGTGCGGGGCGCACCCAAGGACAAAGACAGGGAGCGGCGGCGCGGGGGCGACCAGGTGGGGGACATCTTTAAGGGGGCGCGGGCGGCGGGCGCGGAGCAGGGCACTGACGAGGACATGCTGGGTGATGACGATGATGATGAGGAGGGAGGCAGGTTCAGGGCCTTCAGCGGCTCGGCCAGGACGCTGGCAGGTAGGCGGGGTGCTGGGCAGCGTGGGGCAGCGGCGGGTGCTGCCCTGCAGCTGCTGTGGGGGTGCGTGCCTGCTGCCCAGGAGTGGTGGGCTGCAGGCGGACTGGCCAGCTCCCAAGCAGGCGGCAGGGTTGCGGCGGCTGAAAGCACGCGCGGTTCCCACCCCGCGCCCGCAGGCGGCGATGCGGTGCCCCCGCAGCAGCAGGCGCGCCAGCGCGGCCCCGAGCGGCGCGTGGTGAAGGTCACTTTCTACGCCAACGGCATCTTCACAGGTGCGCGGGCAGGAGAGGGGCGTGTGCCTGGTGTGCATGTGGCGTGGCGGCGGCTGCGGCAGCGGTATGTGTGTACGCCGGCAGAGGAGCGGCACCGTCACCCCTGGGCAGGCTTGGCACTCGCCTCACGCTTGCTGGCCAACGCCCTGGCGGCACAACCTCCCCTGGACCTTCTGCCCCGCCGCTCCCCCTCCTCCGGCCCACCCCGACTCCCTGCCCTGCCCGGCCCGGCCCGGCCGGCCTCCCCCCCCTCCCCCCTCCCCCGCCCCGGCGGCGC